CTGGAATCTAGAGCACAGCCGGGGCTCAAACCCAGGTGTCCTGATACAGGAAAGAGCATCCCAACCAGAGTCTTAGCAGTAGCCAAACACCCGCTCCGGATTCTTGAGTCCTTTATGTGGTCCTTCTCTCTCTCTCTCTCTCTCTCTCTCTCTCTCTCTCTCTCTCTCTCTTTTTAACGCTCTGAAGCGTTATTCATATTCCCCCAGATGGCTAGCTACTCAGTTCTTCTAATGATTTTCGTGACTAATCCCTGTTTTCCCTACTGTCTGAAAACTTTTTGTCTTTTAAAAAACATGTATTTCTTTGAAAGGTGGTGAACCAGAGCAAGAGAGAAGAGAGGAGAGGAGAGGAGGGGAGGGGAGGGGAAGAGAGGAGAGGGGGGAGGGGGGAGAGGAGAGGGGGGAGGGGAGGGGAGAGAGGAGAGGGGGGAGGGGGAGGAGAGGAGAGGGGGGAGGGGAGAGGGGAGAGGGGAGGGGAGGGGAGGAGAGGAGAGGAGAGGAGAGGAGAGGGGAGGAGAAGAGAGGGGGAGGGGGGGGAGGGGAGGGAGGAGAGGGAGGAGGGGAGGGGAGGGGAGGGGAGGGGAGGGGGGAGGGAGAGGAGAGGGGAGGGAGGGAGGAGGGAGAGGAGAGGAGGGAGGGGAGGGGGGGAGGGAGAGAGAGATCAACCATCTGCCTATTGACTCCTCAAATGGTCTCAATAGACAGTCTGGGCCATGCTTATGCCAAGAGTCTGGAACTCTGTCTGGGCTCTCCCGTATGGGGGACAGGAACCAAGTCCTCGGGCCCATCCCTGCCTTCCCAGGCTCATCAGCAGAGTAGCTGGACTCCATCTGGGCTCCAGTATGGGATGCCAGCATTGCAATTAACGGTTTAACCCCCGTGAGATTTTCTATCTGTCGGGTCTGTCGGGTCACTCCCCAAGTGCCCACAACAGCCAGAGCTGGACTAGGCTGAAGCAGGAGCCTAGAACTCAATCTGGGTCTCCCACATGGGTGCTGGGACCCGAGTACTGGAGCCATCAGCTGTCTTTCAGCTCGAATCAGGAGCAGAGCCCAGCGTACCTAATGGGATATGGGTGCTCACCTATATGGCACATGGGTGTCCCTAGCAGGCTCTTAACCATTGCACCAAACCTTCCCAATACTGATATTTTTTTTTTTGTTTTAAGATTATCTTCCATCCACTGGTTCACTCCACAAATGGCTGCAATGGCCAGGAGTGGACCAGGCCGAAGCCAGGAGTTTCATCTGTGGGGCAGGGACCCAAGGACTTGAGCTATCCTCTGCCACCTTCCCAGGTGCTTTAGCTGGAAGCTGGATTGGAAGTAGGACAGCCAGAACTGGATGTGGCCGGGTGGAATGCCAACATTGCAGGCGGAGGCTTAACCCGTTACACTACAATGCCAGCCCCACGCACACTGATTTTTAAGTAACCTCCTTATCATCTACTAAATTCTATATATCGAGTCCTGCGTCTGGGCTGTCTTACGTCTTCCATTGGCCTAGCCGGTCACCGCACTGGTGTTTCCATCATTTTATTCCACAGGGTGCTTTTATTTCTCAGACTAGGATCCTCTTTCCCAAAACTTCCCTCAAAAGTCCTGGATCGGCAAGGTTCATGCCTCAGCCAATCACTGTGGCTGGGAAAAATGGGACATTCTTACTGGCCAGGCTTGGACCTCGTGGCCAACATGGGAAAATCCCAAAGGAAAATGGGGGTGCTGCTACCAGGAAGAAAAATAAAAAAGGATCGGTGGTGAACGGGGACAGACAACAGATGTCACCGGGATAGGATGGAAGTCAACTCTCCCCACACAGGCACCTGGATTATCCCAGCTCATCCTCTCAACAACCGAAGAAGAGATATTGCTGTGAACTAACCGGAGCCAATTTGGTCTCTTTGATAGGCATCGGCAGCTTGCCCTCCCCCTCCTCCAGCTCCACCACCTGGAACAAAGCTTGAGCTGTGGGAGAATTCTGCTGTACCTACAGGTACTTCTCCCGGAGAGTTAGCAATCAGATTTGAAACCATTCATGCAGGAACTCCATCCGGGTCTCCCACAAGAGTGGCGAGAACCCAAGTACTTGGGCCATCGTGCACTGCTCCTGGGCCCATCAATGGGAAGCTGGATCTTACGTCTGCTCTCTCAGGTCAGTGAGGTCCCTGACCCGTGCAGGAACAGGTTCACCGGGGCAGCCTCAGCAGTCTCCTAACCACACACTTCTTATCCTCATTGCAGACAAGGGACAGCCAGGAACCTCCCAGACCAAAGAGACCCCAGGAAGCAGGCCGCGGCGCCACCGATCAGGGTTCAGGCTGCAGGCCTTTGTTGGAGACGGTGAAGCCTCTCTACCATCTCCGCGGCAGCCCTCCTCTCTAGAACACCACTAGTTTCACAATAGAGATGCTAACCGGCAAAGCCCCTGGTCTGGGTCAAGACAGGAGTTCATGGTAGCTACTGCTGGAGTACGGATGAGGGAACTGAGGCAGAGAGAGGGTAGGTGACCTGCTGCCCCTCTCACAGGCAAGAAGGGGAGAAAGTGCTCTTGGACCTGGAAGGTAGGGTGAGGGCTCACATTGTTGGTTGAGGACAAGAGGTGGGTGAAGTCGCCCAAGGAGACAAGCAGAGGAGACAGACCCGTACTGCGTCCCCAGAGATGGACGAACCGTGGGCACTCAAGCCAGGGGCAGCACTATTCCGGAGCCGAGGGAGGAGAAGGTTCAGAAGGCGGCGAAGTCAACACTTCAGAGCTGTGGAGCTCGAGTCTGAGCGGCGACTCTGAATTTGGGAACAAGGCAGTCCCTGGTGATGGCAGGGGCAGAGTGTGCGTGCTGGCGAATGGTTAACAGCCAGCTCTCAAAACCGGTATGCATTTCTGTACATATGTACGTTTATTATAAACTGTACTGATAAAAATACATATAGTACAGAATTTACAAATAATAAAGTGTACCATATTCTTTATTGTAAATTCCTCTTCTGTGGTATAGTGGTAAAGCCACACTTACAGTGCTGGCATCCCATATGGGAGCCAGTTCAAGCGCCGCGGCCTGCTTCCTAGAGTCTCTGGTCTGGGGGGTTCCTGGCTGTCCCTTGTCTGCAATGAGGATAAGAAGTGTGTGGTTAGGAGACTGCTGCAGCTGCCTCTGTTATGGCCCTGGATAGCACCAAGTCCTTGGGTCCCTGCACTTCCGTGGGAGACCAGGAAGAAGCTCCTGGCTCCTGGCTTCGGATTAGCGTAGCTCTGGCCGTTGTGGCCATCTGGGGAGTGAACCACTGGGTGGAAGACCTCTCTCTCTGCCTCTCTGTAACTCTGCTTTCAAATAAATAAATAAATCTTTCAAAAATTAATATATTATTTCATCAATGTTGCAATCCAAACTACAAGCTTAGTCCAATGTGAATGTTGGTTCCTATCTTCATTCATGACAAAATGAAACAATGATGTTATCTGTTGAGACTTCACTGCTTCACAGGTACTTCTTTATTGGCTCTGATAATAGTTCTCAAATTCTGGGAGAATATTTTCTCAGATTTGTGTGCTATTCACAATGTGACAGTTGCAGAGATAACACTTTGAAGTTTAATCTGCATTATTAATATTTTTCTCCATCTCTGTCTTAAAATCCAGACAACCTACAAGGACTGATTTGTAGCATCCGCCGATTTCTTTGGTGTATAGATTTCCACCAATGCCAACTCATCACTAAGAGAAGAGATGCCAGTCGAAAATCATTATACAGTATTTCCACCATACAAATGCAGTCAACCTTAAGAACATTTTATAGTAAAATGATCAGGAAGTAATGGGCTTTGAGTACTTATTATCTCGTTGAAAATATTTAACTGTAAGTTTACATAATTAAATTTTAATAATGTCTGTGTTTATCACCTGGCTCAGAAAGTTACTGAAGAACAGTCATTTCCCCCAAGGTGGTCGGAGCACTGCACTGGGTGGGACTGAGAGGCAGACTGTGACGGGACGGAACCCTCCAGATCAAGTCTCCTACTCCTCTCTGCTCCGGTCACGCTCTCATGGAACTGACACCACTCCTGCCTCCTTGAGCAAAGTAACCCCTGTTCCACAGCAGGGTCGACTGAGTAGGGGTCAGGGCTCAGGGCTTTCTGCATTCAGTGTGTGCTCAATTAGCACTCACTGAATGAATGTTATGGATGAAGGGCTGCAGTGCCAGGGGGGCAGAAGGAAAGGTTATGTGTGTGAGGCAGCACCTGAAAGGCAACACCAGACGCTTTTCGGTTATTTGGAACAGCTTGGACTCCACCACTCTGGGTTAAAAAACCTACAGAGAAACCTTCCCAGCTTACACAGAACCCTGAGAATATTTATATGACAGAACTGTAGACTCTTGTAAACTCGCCTATCTGTACAGTGTCCTATTGTGTCAATGCGTTTTAACAGCTTTCTTCAGGAGGTGGTCTCATCAGACAAGACTGAACAGGGGTGCATCGTCAGGTTTTCAGGTGGGGTACCCACCAGAGGAGTCCACCCTTCTTGCCAGGACCATTAAATAAAACACTTGTGACACCCAGGGTGGCTGATAGGAACCACCATTTCACAGGAAATCAAAAGATGTGCTCTGCTCAGGGCAGTTAGCTAAAATTGTGAAGAGTTTCTCCAGGGCTTCCAATGTGGGCCGAGGGGAGAAAGTAGACCACCAGGGACAGGAATCACGCAGGCGCACGGAAAAACACAGTACCGGCAGGAAAACATTCTCAGGAAAAAATGAAACTTCTATCTACCAGAACACAAACCAGTGTACCCCAAGCCAAAACAACTCTCCCACAATCCACATCTATCATTTAGCACAAACCAAAAAGATGAAGGTGATCGTCAGGAAGAATCAGATAGGAGCAATCAGAGTGTTGCAAGTCCTGATTACGCAGAGACGCTAATCACGCATCATGCGAACTCCAATCATCATGTTCTATCTGCCCTCCAAAAGGAGGAACAGGTAAGGATTATCCCACCTGACGATACCGGCCCGCCCCGGCCATTCCATATTCAGAGGAGCAGATGCCCCTAAGACCTAGGGTGAATACGCAACGCGTTAGTCGGAGAAACCCAGTTGCTTTGAATTATTTCAATCATATTTCGACATTTATTTGTAACGTTAAAAAAAAAACTTCTTACATTCGATTGCCAAAAAGGAATAAACTAACTCCTCCCAGAATGCTCTGCTCCCTCACGTGCTCGTGAGTTCTGAGCATACACAATCTTATTTACATATCTCCGCCCATCCCTGCCGCCAGCACTCTACCGTAATACCCAAAATAGAAGCGACCCCTGTTGTTCTATGGGCTGGAAAGCAGTCTCTGCAGTAGTTTGGCCAACTCAACTGTTCCCTGAAAATTGTATAAATTTTGATCTTATTATAAAATAGATTTTAATTATTACAAAGCACTGACTAAAACGCTATCCCAGACAATTATCCCAACACCGACATCCTCCACCAGAAGCAGTTTCCGGGGCGCGGCGACGCTGTCCTGCCAGGAACGGGAGCTTCTGGCTCCCCCAGCCCTGTTCTCCACGTTCTTGCAGTGAGGATGATCAGAAGGGTTTCTTTTTCAGCCCAAAGACGGCGATGAATAATGCCACTTCAGTGACAGCTGGGAGGGCGCTGTGGAAGGCAGGTGGTGGGGTCAGGCCCCCTTCCAACATAAATACCCGAATCTCCAAACCAGACATCCCAGCCCCGAAGTGTAGAGGGTGGGATTGGAGGGGGGACTTCAAAGGACCACAGGATGTGGTCTTGGTGTCTCAAACATTCAGGGAAGAGCTGGATGGGGCGAGCCTTCCTCCCCACCCCCCAAGACTGGGTGCTAACCGCACCTGCAGAACACAAAAATGTACCAGTACGTGGTGCACTCCCAGCGCTCGAATATGAAGAACGACAGGGCTACAGATGCACTACAGTGCGCTGCGATGGCTTGTGGGCGACACACAGGAGTCAAGGAAAGTCTTGGGGCCACAACAGCGACGGGCTATGGCAGGCCAGTGGTGGAGCTCCCAGGCCTTGTGCGACGGCGGGAGTCAGCAGCCCTGCCTTCTGATTTTAACAGGCCCACGTGTAGCGGCCTGCGCTGAGCCTGCACTGCCGAGACCCCAGGCTACCCTCACCCCACATGGAGGGGCCAGCCTGCACCCCCGAGGGGAGGTCAGAGCAGGCCCCCATGGACCCCACAGGAATGCGGACAGCGACTTGATCCTCTCTGCTGGAATCACTCTCCACCAGGAGGCCCGCAACTGGAGAGTCAAGCGCCTCCCTCAATCCTTGGCTCTTTTACCCCCTCCTAGAGGATAGTGGGGTGTGTGTGTGTGTGTGTGTGTGTCTGCCTCCGCCTCACCCCCATTTACCTCCAGGGCCCGGTGCACAGCGGCATCCACAACTGTTTGAGGATTGTGTCAAATCCCTGCACTGCCTAAGCAGAGGCGGGGCTCCTGGGGGGAAGGGGGTCGCTGAAGGGAGTCGCGCTGGAAACGGGTCGTGGGGGCAGAAAGGATACAGATGAGGCTCTGGGTGCTGTTGAACATGGACACTCCTGAGAGGAAGCCGGCCAGCTCCACGGCAAAGAGGCCCAGGGTGACCGAGAGGGCGGCCACCAGCCTGCAGAGAGGAAGGGGAGCGGCTCAGGACCCCCGGCCTCCGGGACTCCCACCGCCTCTTCCTTCGAACCCCCACCCCCCCAAGAGCTCACTGCACGTCCTGCTTCTCATACTCCTCGGGGGTGAATCGGAGGGGCAGGCAGGCCTGGACGTTGCTGTCCTGGGGAGCGGGCAGAAAAGGAAAGGAAGTGAGAGAGGCCGGCTGAGACCCCGGGCGGGGTGGGCGCGGCGACCACGGCGAGATGGCGACGCGGAGTGGCGGCCGTGGGTCTTACCCGCGACCAGAATAAGGTGATGACGACCACCAGATGCGCCAGCAGCGTCAGGAAGCGGGAGGGCACGAGCCCCGAGATCCGGCTCATGCTCCTCAGGGCCGCGGGCGGCGGCGCTGGGAAACCTCTCCCGGCCCGCGGCCTTCGCGCGCCTCAGGGGCCGCCCCGTTGCCTTGGTAACTGCGTACGCGGACCGTGCGCCTCGGGTTCTGAAGATCTCGCGAGAGCCGTAAATTCTCGAGCCGCCGTCGTGCAAGTGCGCCGTGTTCGGGGACCCCGCTGCGGCCGCCAGCCTCCTAACCGGAGGACTACGTCCGGGGGTTCGCTGGCTGCTCAGGTCCGGAGCGGCGCGGCCCCAGGCTGCATTGCCGGGAATGGCCTGTCCGCGGAGGAGGTGCTCGCGGACTGCTGCGGCCGGCGTGCCGGTCTTAGGTTGGAGGCTCAGACGCGGTCTTCCCTTTCCGTCCTCGTAGCTTCCTTGTGCCCTGAGCCCAACGTGGAACGTTCACTGGACCTACCTTGTCCGGCAGGCCCGTTGTCACGGAGCCCTTGGTGGTCGGAGCACCCCAGACATCTTTGCCGGGTTCGGTGAGGGATTTGCATAGTGCAGAAGATAGCGGCAGCCTCAGCCTAGGGACGGCCCCGCCGGGACTGGACAGGGCGAGCGTGGACGAAGCGTCCCGCACAGGTTTGGAGCTGCCTGGGACGCAAGGCTCAGCTCTGGTTCCGGGGTCTCCGAGGTACCGGCCGCACGGGCTCCAGGAAGACCCCTGCTGCTTGCGCACACCCAAGGGGCTTCCCTCCCCGCTTCGGAGGAGAGTAACCCCAGCCTGCACTGCAAAGCCTAGTGGTAGGCAGCCCAAAAGGAGGTGGAGCGTGGTCGCGGCAGGCCTTGCAGCCACCAGGCGCGACGTGGCCAGATTCGTATTCTCCACGACCCAGGTTGCAATATGGAGAGACTAACGAGGAAGCCATAGAAGTATCCAGAAAGGACAGGGTGAAGCAAAGACGATGGAGCAAAGCAGAAGGATTGGGGAGAGGGTCTGGCTCGGGGCCTGTGGGTGGGTGAGGAAAAAGGAGAGTCAAGGTGACCCAAGGATTTTGCGTTCAACAGCTGCAGGTTTGGAGCATTCGGCTCAGTAGGCGTTCTGCCTAGGAGACGGGCTAGACAGTACAAACCGAGTTCTCAGGTCCTTAGGTGTGGACTCATGAACAGGGAGTGGGCAGCCTAGGTTTGCTTTGTCCTTGTCCACAACCTTGGTTTACAGAAACTTGCCTCAGAGAAAGTCGTTTCTTGCCTGCGTTTTCGAGCCTGCTGGTGGCCATGGGCTGTGCTGCGGGTGACCAGCTGTCCTCCCGTAGGTGGCCACTCACTCCAGGGCTGGATTCAGCATCTCAGCATTTGAACTGGTGACAAAAGAACTTGCAAACTTTTCATTTTTTGGCATCCTTGGAAATTTCAAACACAACATAAAAATGAAACAGTATAACAACCCCCTGGGAGGGCCACTGCTCTGCCTCAACAGTTGTCAGCACGTGGTCAGCTTTGTTGCCCCCTCCCCTCCACCACAACCCCACACGTGTGCATTGGGGTACAAATAAAGTCCACTTGGCTGACATGTCTGAAATCTCTGTTAATCTTGGGTTTGCCCTCCTCCCCATCACCTCACCTTCTTTCTTTTCTTGCTGAAGATACTGGGCCACGTGTGGCGTCATTTCATTCTCTCCTGGCCCTGTGTTTCCTGCAAACTGATGGTCAGGTCTAATGGTTGATCTATGTGTCATTCAGTTTTCTCGTAAGATCACATCCCGAGGGATGGTTTGTACTTTCTGTTCACCTCATCAGGAATCCTGCTTGTCTGTGTGTCTGTCTGTCTGTGGTGCTGAAGTCTGAGTGGTGGCTTCGGGTGCGGTCAGGCTGAGCCACCCGTGATAAAATTCTTCATCCATTCTCACCTAATGGTACCACGGGTCCTCATTGCCTAACTGCACGATTTCAATAGCGATTGCAAAATGGCGATGGCCTAATTCTAGCCCTCTTCTGCATCTACCAGTTAGAATTCTTTTATCAGTAAGAATTTTCCATGAGATACGAGTCATACAGGAAAGGCAGGATAAATGGGTCCTTTTTTTTTTTTTTTTCATTATTTGCCAGTTTTCAGAATCCTGGTTCAGTAGTGTCCTACAAACACAACTAGTTCTTTTTAGTAGCATGGTGACCACATAGATTTTACATCTTTTGTGTATTATCATTTCCAAGCCCACCCCCATCCCCTACTGCTTCCACTCCATTATTTTCCCGCCTGTTGGGCCTGCGGCGGAGGAGCACATAGATCTTCTCTTTGATCCAGTCTTTGTTATAAGGATGGTATGTCTGGGTATCAGCCCGGTAAACAAGGCAGCTGAGGTCTGCCAGATCATCAATAAAATCAAACAACTGACTGATATCGTATGTGATAGACGGACTGTTGGGATTCATTCTTTTCAGATGTTCCTCATACATTTTACAAATACCTTCCATGCATTCATTCACAGATTCATAGTCAGCATAAGTTCTGCCTTCTGGCCTCTTGGTAGGCTGTACCAGCAAAATGGTATGAGACATCGCGCCAAACTCTTCTCTTTGCAGCCGCTGCCGACACCGCCGCCGCACACGAGCTTCTCATTCTACCTTTTTTTAAAAGATGCATTTATTTTATTTGAAAAGTGGAGTTACAGAGAGGAAGAGGCAGAGAAAGATCTTGCATCCACTCGTTAACTCCCCCAGATGGCCACAACAACCAGGGCTGGGCCAGGCCGAAACCAGGAGTCTGGAACTCCATCTGGGTCTCCCTTGTGGGTGACAGGGGTCCAAGCACTTGGGCCATCTTCCGTTGCTTTCCCAGGTGCATTAGCAAGGTGCTGGATTGGAAGTGGAGTCAGGATTTGAACTGGCGCCCATATGGTTTGCCAGTGCTGCAGGCTGGGCCTTTAACCCACTGTGCCACAGAGCTGGCCCTTTAACAACTTCTCCTCCTCCTCCTCCCCCTCCTCCCCCTCCTCCCTCCTCCCTCCTCCTTCTTTGTCTTTTCACTGTTGAGTTACAAGTGTTCTTCATGTATTATGATTTCTATACCTTTATGAGATACACAAAAGTATGCCAAACCAGTTTATGCAAATTGCATAGTAAAACAAACTATCCCTGGATTCTATTTTTTTTTTTTTTGTATCAAAGTATCTTTTAGTTCCATTTTCCATGAACTTTTGGATATGCCCTGGTTTTAAAGCCCTAACCCTTCACGCGGCGGCATTTTGAGGTGGGAGATGATTAGGTTTAGATGAGGTCAGGGTGGTAGGACCCTCTTGAGGAAGACATGTGTCTCTCCAAGTGTGAGCACTCTGGGGGAAGGGAGCAAGGCCTCCCCAGGAAACACATCTGCCTGCAGCTTGATCTTGTACTTCCCAGCCTTCACCACTGTGAGACAGAAATGTCTGCTGTTTAAGCCACCCGGTCTGCAGCATGTTACAGCAGCCTGAGCTAAGATATTCCGTAAGACAGACACAATAACGAAGCCATCAATCAAGTGATTACAGAGTTAAAGGACTAGTGTGGCTGTGAAGAGCTCAGATGCCCGAGTCAGGCTGGGTTACAAGCTCTAAGACCTCAAACAGGTAAATATATCAACTTGTGCCTCAGTTTCTCTGTCTACCTCTTAGACAAAGGGGTTTCAATGACAACGCACCTCAGCAGCACTCAATACTGTTGCTTGCTTCTTTCCTCTTGAAATACTTTTTGTTTGTTTCTTCACTTACCCTCCTGTTTTCCTGAGCACCTAGCAGAGCCTCTGTGTTGGTGTGGGGGTGGCACAGGATGCAAGCCCTTTAAGGCCCCCTGGATGGAGTGTGTGTTGCAAGGAGGAACAGGGCACCACAGACAGGAAGTTCCTTGAGATCAGTAGAAACAACGCCCACGTGTTTGAGGTGAGGAGGTGAGAGAGGGGGTCGGTGCTGTCCAGCTCAGCTTCCACAGCCTGGAGAGAAGCCAAGTCCAGTGCCTCCAGATTGCTTGTTTGGGTTACTTCCTCTCATCCTGGTCTTAAATGTTGGTCTCCGCAACTTGAAAATGAAAAACAAATGAGAAGAAAAAATAACCTTGAAGACCACGGGACCCAGCCCTCAGCCTACTAAGCTTTTGCGCTCCGGACCCTCTGCTGTGATGACGGAAGGAAAGAGTGCACATTGTCTGTGTCCACCGTGGCAGCCCACCAGCTCCATGTGGCACCAGAACACTTGAGATGAGGCTAGCGGGACTGAGGGACTGAGATTTTAAGATTAAGTTTCATTCGGGTAGCCCTAGATTGAAGAGTCAACCCAGTGACTGCCATATTGGGCCATGCAGTAGGGTTACTTAATGGCTTCTAAAATGTGGAAACCAGGGGCATGAATGAAAGCGTCAACAACAGAGTGCCACAGACCGCTCTGTGCCTAGAGATCGAGTCCCTAGTCCCGGGTAACCGTAGTCACTGGGCCAACTTCCCTTTCAACCAAAATGATCCACCTCACCCTGTATCCTTCAGGTGCCCACACAAACCCCCTTCCTCTGTAAGCCACTCTGTGGCCCACTTCCTGCTCTTGCTAAAGCTAGCCCTCCTTAACTTCACAAATACTTACTGAAACACACATTGCAGGAATTGTGCTGTGTGCTAGGAATACATTTTTCCTACTTTCTTACTAGAAAGGGACAGGACATCCCGAAGAAACAAAATGTCAATTTTCTCTCTTTTAAACATGTTTTATTTATAGAGAAGGGTTCCCATCCACTGCGTTGGTTTCCAGACATCTCTAATGGTGCTGACCAAAGCTGGGAGCCCTGGGATTTGGGCCAGGCTGATGCCAGGGGCCAGGAACCCAATCCAGGTCTCCCATGTGAGTGGCCGGGACCCAACTATTTGAGCCATCACCACTGCCCCCCAGGCTCTGCATTGTCGGGAAGCTGGAATTGGGAGCCAGGACACAAATCCAGATAGGGGACACGGGTGCCCTAACTTCTAGACCAAATGCTTGCCCTTAAAATGTAAAATTCTCAGTGCTCTCTTAGAGAAGACAAAGGGCCTTTTCTTGCAGAAGTGGGGAGGACGGTGAGCCTTGAGTGGCATGTAAGGACTTGAAAAATTATCATGCAATAGCAGGGATAATGACATAGAGACAAGGGACCATTGTGCACAAGTGGTGAGGGGGGAGTGGCTGAAGATCAGGCAAGGACCCAATAGTACTATTACTAAGAACAAATTCTCGCTCCGTGATCACCACTGGCCAGGCTCCGAGCCTGTGATCTGTAGCAGACAGATACCATAGTGATGTGTTACCATCTTTGCCATTTCAGGGATGAGGTCACTGAGGCACGGGGAGGTTGAAAAACCAGTCCAAGTTACACCACCAGTTAAGCCGCAAAGCCCGTATGTGAACTCTGGTAACATGGTTCTGTAACCAGGCACAGGGTGATCTGAAAAAGGCTGGGCTTGGTTCTCGGTGAAATCGGCGAAATCAAATGCGAGGCGGCAGATTTCACCACAGTGCACAAGTCTGCTCCCACTGAGTCCAGCCAAACGCTGGCTTCCAGGCCGCCATCACAAAGC